GAGCTGTACAGTTCTTACATAATACAGCATGATAACAGACTTAGGTTGGATCGGGCAGCTCCTTGAGGGAGCCATCTAGATGTGGGTTGACATGTAGATAGTTATCAAGTGGATGAGTAGTTGATGTGAGAATCAGTTGTTGGTGGGATGAATGACATGATGATGGGTAAGTACAGGTGAAATGGAGCTGTGTGAACCGACATCCCTAAGGATGATGACCTCCTCCTTGAAGGGGGAGGTAGCAGGTGGGTCTGGGCTTGGCCATAGGATGGAAACAGAGGATGAATGGTGATGTGCATGACTTGGAGTAGCCAAGCACATGCTGTATGGAGCTGAACAAGAGTTGAGGCTATCGGCAGGGATGACCCATAATGGGGAATACCGAGACATGTACAGAGGCAGTTACAAGGTGGCACAGAAGTCTTACAGATGTTGCACAGGTGTGAGTTTGTGGTAGTAAAAAGATGGTCATTCTTCTCTCAGCTCCAGCTGTACATAAGTGTGACTCTATACTATAGAATAGAAAGGTTGTGGGAAATCCTGTGAAATATAATAAATAACTGGTGAGCACGAAAACCCCAGGAGGGGAAGGCTTAGCATGGTATTGAGGGGGGGTAAGAGAATGGGTGAAATGTAAGGGAAGTGGAAGAAGGGGGACAACAGATGAGATATGGCCTGCTTTAGTCATGGGAGACTCCATTCTCATACATTAGGGGGTTTCACAGTTGACTGAAGTGCATCTAAACTGGATTCTAAATTACATCTAAAGTGACCCAAAATTTACATCATGTGGGGCCTCAGTTTGGAGCAACTTTGGGTTGAGTTTGGAACTTTGCACTAGGGCGTTCACGGTTCACAGTTCTAAAGTACATCCAAAGTAGTCAGAGCCAATTAACCTTGTTGCCAGTATGCCCTCATGGGTGCTGTCAAAGACCGGATTCAAAAAGGAGGTATGACTCAGTGTTTGGAGGGCTTCAGCCTCAGCAACTCAAGCCAGGAGTGCTGTGCCCAGTAGCATGTCAGAGCCTAATTTTCAGACAGAAGAGTCTTCTGAAAGGGGGAAACTTTAATTGATTATTGACTGAGGGTTTCCAGTATCACAAGTATGGTGCATATAGATACATGGGAAGTCTAGGTGGGGGCCCATAAATGGCAGGGGCTGGGCGGAGCTGACATAACAGGGTCAAGGGTTAGTCAACTGAATATTACCAGCAACTTGGGTTATGGGGTTAGCAGGCAACAACCCAAAAGGAGAATGGAGAGGGCAGTCTGAAGGTGGACTTGCAGGGCAGGTGTCATATCCTGGATCTTCCACCTCCCTCTGCCCTATTCCTATATGACTCCTATGACCTCCACCAGCCCTCCCAATCTCTCTCTGCTGCCTCCAGTCAATGCCAACAGCCCTAGGACTACCTCCTCCTTCAACTCTCTCCCACTCTGCCTCCCATCTACATCCACATCACCTCCAGACCTCCACTACCAGACCTCCACCTCCTTGGACCTCTTGTTCTAAGGAAATGGACCTGCTCATTGTTGGTAAATGTCAGGGGATGACTCCCAGGTCCCCATGACCCTCCCCTATGGTCCACAGCCCTGTGGTGTAACCAGCCCTATCCAGGGCACAACCTACTGTGGGTAAGGAGATGAGAAGGAAGCTAACTTCTCATCTTCCCACAGTGGCCACAATATCAGCAAAACTTCTGGGGATACCTGGAAGTCACATGAGGAATAGGAACCAGCCTGGAGCATGTGGGGTGGAGCACACATGCAGGTCCGGGTCTGGGCTAGTCAGGGTGTGTGCCCTGACAGTAAACCTCAACTTGCCTATCCACCCTCCTTCTTACTTCCAGTCTCTGCACCTCCAGTACCTCCCCACTCCTACCTTACCTCTGGTCATGATAATCTTTATTGTTCTATCATTTGATATTTTCTACAACCCCAATGTTCCAGACTGCAACTTCCAGGCTCTGGACCTTTCTGGACATCTTCCTCTGTAGTCCCCTGCTTATTCTTAGATGGTTCCAGGCCTTACCATTCAGTTGGCTTTTAATTCTCCCACTCCACAAACCTCAGATGTAATTTGGGCTTTTTGCCTATTCCTCATTTGTCCTGTGGATTCTTTTCTATTTACTTCCCCTTCCCCTTGGTAACCTTTGTTTACCTTCAGATCCAATTGTTTCTGCTATATGTACATGTGTACCCCTCCAGTAAATAGTTCCCCCAGTTATAATACAAGTCTTAAGTCCTTGAATCCAAACCTCCTCCAGGGTGTCTATCACGTCCCACTTGTCTGCTGCTCTACCCTGACCCAAGAGCTGAGTAACAGGCATGTCTAAAGGTGCCTTGGTATAAAACCCAAACAAATCACATGACAAATGATTGACCCTCACTAACACCTCCATCGTTAAGTAGTAAGGGGGGGCTTCTGGCCCCCTTCTGCTGGTGGCCTCGGTTCCTCCGTTGCCAGCTCCCCTGACAAATTGGGGACAACAAGAACGTAATGGGCACAGTGCTCCATTTTGAGTCGCTGAAGCCAAGTCCTTTCAACACCCCATCACCCTTGGAGCTCCGCCCCACCTCCGGTCTGTCTCCAACCCACTGTCAGATGACCTGGAATATTGAGCTCCACCAGACAGTGCCACCTGGGTAGTGACCAGATCTACCCCAAGGAACGTTTCTTTGACAGCAGGCAACTAAATGGCCCAATGGAGGCAGGGGTGCACTTTCAGACATTGGAGCTGTCTGGAGGCCTTTGGGGTTCCATACTTAGGGAGGTGTAAGTAATATATGGAAATGGGGGGTGGTGACCATCAGGGGGGCTCCAAGGGGAAGACAGGATTCAGGGGCTCCAAGGTCGGTACAAGGAGAGTGGAGGTAATTGGGGATGGCTGGAGGTGATGGAAGGTGGTGGTGGAAGATGGATATGACAGGCACCAAGTCACTGTCAGCCCATGCCCAGATGGCTCCCTCAAGGAGCTGCTGAACTCAGAAGTCAAACTCTGGAATATTGGCAAAGGTAAATAAATGAAATTAGCTAACCAATACAGTGGACATAAGTGGAGGTGTGTCAGGGACAGCTCCGAGAGCGGCGAGGTCCCGGTGCGAGGGACTTGATGGGACAAGTGTCGGCTATGCATAGCGGCAGTCCCGTTGCGGGGTGAGCATCCCTGACCACTGAAGTGGGAAGTTGAGAAGAAGGCTGCTTCTTCTGTTCCCACCCCAGGTGCTATTATATACATGCAGTCAGGGTCACGTGGGAGGAGCCATGTCATCCCCGCACACAGCCGCACTCCCCTGGGTATCTCCGTGGGAGATCCCGGAGGTGTGCCGCTCTGTGAGCGGGAATGCGCGTGGCAGGCACGGCGATTGGGGGAGCGGGGTTAGGTGTGTTAGTAATACATAGAGAAAGGGAAGTCGACCATAGAAGGAAATAGAAAGAAAGAAGGAAAGGGGAGAGAGGAGACAAAGGGTGATAGCGGGGAAGCGGAGTAGGGCGGTACGGCGCGGGGTGCGGCATAGGGTCAGGCGGGTGTGCCCTGACAAGGTGGGGTCAAAGTCCAAGGTTGGAGCTAAGACTGGAAATCCGGGAGTGTAGATGTCACATACTGTCAGGGCATACCCTGCCTGACCCCATGCTGCACCCCACGCTGCCCTGCCCCACTCTGCTCCCCCCATCACTCCCCACTCCTCTTTCCTCTTTCCTCTTTCTGTTCTATGGTCGACTTCCCCTTCTCTATGTACCACTACACCCTAATGCCATAGCCTCTATTGCTGCACCTGCTGCACACATTCCCACCCACACAGCGACCACCTCCAGGATCTTCTGTGGAGACACCCAGGGAGGTGCAGCTGCATGTGGAGATGATGTGGCTCCCTCCATGTGACCTTAACCACATGTATATAATAGCACCTGGAGTGGGAACAGAAGAAGCAGCCTTCTTCTCCCTTTCCCACTTCAAACCAAGTGGTCAGGGATGCTCACCCCATGACAGGACTGCTGCTACGCATAGCTGATACTCATCCCATTGAGTCCCCCACACCAGGACTTCGCCGCTTTCGGAGCTGTCCCTGACACATACTTGTCTGGAAGGTGTTGAGGTTGAGGTTGGACCCAGAATGGTCCGGAGTTGGACTGAAGGTGGTGTTGGAGCCAGAGGTGGGATAACCCCTTGGGAGTCGGCAAGGGAGAGGGTGGCAAAAGGGAAGTGGGGCTCCAGAGTCAGTTTTGGAGTTCCAGGAGCCTAGAGCAGAGGTCAGGATTGCATGGATATGACACATATTCCCCATCTGTCCCAAGGCACTGAGTACCAGCCAAAGCTGCCTCCTTCACCCACAAGGCCACAGCTTCTCCAGCAAAACATGCTACCTGTTGGATCAGACCTTACAACATGGCTCAACATGTTCATCTTATATTGATTATCATTCTGACAGATCAACAGTGGTATCAGCAACCTAACTCCCCTACACACATGAGGCTGACAAGCTCAAGGTCTCATCTATAGGAATGGGTCAGAGTGGGTCTCTGTAAGGAATGGGTGGTGGTTACATATTATTCCTTGTTGTACTTTTGTATTTAATATGTATGGTGTGGAGTTGGGTAAAGGGAACTTTACTCTTCTCCTCACCAATGTCAAATCATAAGTTCTGTATAACCTAGATTTCAACTGATGAAGAGGAGGCACCAAGGTCGGCACCTACACTGACCTTACAGTCTCCCAGAACCCAACTCTGTAACAAGACCTCTCCCTGATCCCACACCTGACTTGAGCCCAACTCCAAGTCTGGTGTCACCACCCCCACCCTACATTCCTTGCACCGATATCCCTTTGTTTATTTGTTTACTTGTCTATTGTTTGTTTTGACCTTTGGCCATTGCCAGCCACTATCCAGTCTACTCCACTCTTTGCTCCTATTTGCTTCCAGACCCCTTGGCCTTGGCCTGGGTCCACTTCCATTCATTATATCTCCCTTTATATATCTGGTATGATACACTGTAGTACCTTGGTTCTAATATCGACCAGATCTCAACTTCTAATTCTTCCCCAACAAGGCAACATGAAATGAAGGGGTGCTTGCACTAACATCAAGCCCAAAGCTCATCCAAAAGAAACATGCCATCACTCTCAAGGTGGGTCTCAATGTAAGTGGTGGCATCCCCTGGGAAAACACCTAGTCATTCAACTCTGAAGCACCAGGGATATACTATTGTTGGTGTTCCAGCAGTTCAGAATCCTGTACACTAGAGTTTTGCTCACAGAAAAAGTAATACGGATGCTGGGACCATCTAGCCAGAGAAACGGGATACACAGCTTTAGGTCATCACTCAGGCAGCATGCAAGAGGCATGTTGGTTATCGTTTACGTTCATCAACAGCAGGCGGCTGAACGTAAGATTTGCGAGGATCATTTGATAACAGGTCCTAAGAGTTTTGCTCCCGCAAATTTTCCCTGATAAATTGGTTTTCGCTTTAAGTCCCAAACGTTACAGTCATCTTACAAACGCAATGTGTGGCACCACGAGCCTTGGCCTGCGAAAGGGCTCGTATTAGAGGGATCATCACGTCATGGGGCCTGATTGCTCACCATGGGTTTGCAATGTGGAGCACATCTGGTGCACATGTGTAGTCACTTGGCGGAGGTGTGCTTCGCCATCATCCTCGAGTATGTCTAATCCCCACCATTTCGCGGGGGCCCTGTCATTCACCCTGCTTGCGTCTTTTTCAATAGCTGCGGGGACTATCCGCCGAGTTGCACGATCGTACGAGTATACGCAAACACAGGACCCGAGCGCACTGATCCCGTATAAAGTATCTATGCTAACTTGTTCGGCGAATGATTCGAATCGTTCCCTCATCTGATCATCGGCGGCGGCACGATTTGCAATGGTATCCACATGCGAGGAAGGCTTGATCTCGATGAAAAATACCGGATGCTTATTGTGTTGCACGATAAAGATGGTCGTGAAGTCTACGAATTGCGGAAATCGAGGGCGTTTGTACTGTGGCACCACCATGAAATGAGAGCGACCAGGAAACAGTTCACCCAAGAGGCCATTATAGGGACCGTAGTACCCGCCCCCATCGACGTCACCCCGAGCCACCGTGCCAAATTGCTCAAGGGTGTGTGGCGGCCACGGCATGTGGCAATGCAGAATACAGAAGCTTTCTGGCTGATCGGCATATGCCGTACAGCGATGCAAGGAGCCGTTCCTCTTGCTGAGTCAATGAGGAATTGATTCAAATTTAATCAGCGGAGGAATGACACCTGTCTGGGAAAACGGTGGCCCAGTAGGCAGAAACAACCTTGAGTCATCTGTTGGAACCTCATCTAGCTGCATTGCGCCGGAGTTGGCCGAATATATTGCATCATAAATCGTATGGATGGCATTGTCAAGAGGGCGAGGAAGGCTGTCTCAGGTGAGCGAATCGCCCATAAACATAAAGTGATTAGTACAAAATTATAACACCATTCACTTCAGCAACCGGCTGGACGACAGCAGGATCAAGCAAGACAAGTCCCAGATAGTTGGGATGATGATGAAGACAATGTCGAAGACGAAGAGGACAACTCATTCGTAGCGGGGACATCTCAGCTCCGCAAACGTCCTTCTATTGAAATGCTTGCAGATGGGATACACCAAGGGGCATGGGATACGTGAGTACTTAGTGTAACACTGTTCCCGCGATACATCCGAGTCGATCCGCAATCTCTCATTTCCTTTATTAAGAGGCGGACCCGCGCCAATGCCCACCGTCATCCTGGGTGCGCCATTGACTGCCGGGAGCAGTCTCCCGCCTCCATCCGCTCTTGGACCGACGATGCGCATTCTAAAGCGGCCTGTTCAGAACAGTTCATCTTCAAGTACGGACTCAGTTAGAAGCCCCCAGAGCTTAGCAGAGAGAGAGGCTGCCTATGCGGTGGCGCGCGAGCGGATATTTGGTGATTTCAGTTTTAAAATTTCTCCTGTTGCGAAGGATCATCTAGAACCGTCTGCAAACGATGAAAAAAACGTCAAGTCTAGCTCTACGAGTCACACTCCTCTTCCCCCTAGCTCGACCGACGATAAGGCAACGGTTAGTTGATTGTATCTATGCTAGTATGCATTTGGGACATATGTGTGTTGGTCACACCTGCTGATCTTCTGTGACACGACATTGGACATGGGTAGCAATAAATCAATCAGACTTGCTTCCAAAATGGGTCTTCCCACCACAAACCAGTCGATGCGACGGCTCTGACTTTCCTCCCGCCTCTATTGCACACCCGGCTCTGTTCAAGATGGTAGATTGTTGGGACCTCAAGGACATCGTGCAGATAAGCTCTCAGTCTGCTGTAGTTCAAGCCAATGAATTCTGGTCCATGCGAATCGTCTGAGAGAGCGAAACGGCCGCCATGGTCTACAATGAGCTTCTCGATGCCGCAACCGATCAGTGAGATGAGCATAAACCAAAAGTAGTCAAAATACCCGCGCAATTTCCTTTCCTGGGTAGGCAGTGTCCCATCCCTTTCTGAACGCAGCTGCATTTGCCTCGAACAGAGCGCCGTACTCGATTGCATATTGAACGTTTCGCATAATTCGCTCCCAAATGGCAGGTGTGGAACTAGCTGAAAAAGTGATTGAGGGATTGTACAGTCGGAAAAGGTCGAAGTGGCCGATAATTTCAGGATGAAGCCCTTGCATGAGCTTGTACTGGGAGTCTAGATAAGAAATAATCAAATCCTGGTAGTTTTGGGGTATGTCTTGATTAATAAGGGATGCCGTGGTGGAATCAGGAGCATCCGACCCTCCAAACGAACCCAACGCCCTCTCGAATGTCTCTCTGTCGAAATCTATGGGGATCTCGTTGACATGATGTATGGACCCCACGATATAGTCAAATTTATCTCCATGTCTGGCAAGTAGGTTCTCAGTCATAACAAGGTCGAGGTCGGTAATGTAGTCTGTTTCGAGGCCCACGAGGAACGCTGTCGCGGAGGATGAATGTTCCTCTCGTACATTATGAGCCTCATTGACAAAGGTATCGAACGCGGAAGAGAGGTCTTCGATTGATAGATCGGACTGCAGGTCCAAAGTTCAGCTTCTAGCAAGTGGGATGCGGATGAATGGCCATTACTTCCTCAGGATACAGATCTCGAGTGCGATACCGCGGCGCGTGTTCAGTCAGGCCATAGACACTGAACCCTTTTAGTACCGCGGCTTGCGCGACTTCAGACAGCGCTCCATTAGCATGTCTGCAAAATTGACCTGAGTGAGAATGGTGAGAGTGCATGCTGTTGTTGCTGTTTGTTCTGGCCGACTTTGTACTAGAAATGGCTGCTGCTTAGCCCTGCCCTCAGTGCTTGCGATAAAACTTTTTTGCGTCCGGTTACAGCAATCAAAACATAAATAATCTACATAATCACCGATACCTATGTTGACATGAGTACCCCTAGCATTAATGGGCTCCAGGTATGGAGGGATGATCAAGAATAAAGAGTGTTAGCTAAATAAAATGCGTGAGGATAAATTGGTTCTGATAAGGGTTTGAGCATGAGAACACTTCTAGATTTTTTAAAAAGTGATTATAGGTGTTGAGGAATGGATGGAGAGTCTGTCAAATGAATGAATGTGAGCAGACTCGTACCCAGTAGTTGGGAGCGGAATGGTCTAGAAAAGAAAAATAATTACATAATCGGTGGCTGGCCGGAGTTCCTCGCTCGGCCGTGGGAACGTGGCTGTACGAAAACTCGCACGGCCGTGCTAGCGCGCTGTTCTCCAACAGAGACCACATTACTTACTACACGCTAGAAGCACCTCCTCAAACCTCGGCTTTACTCGCATCAAACGCCCGATTCAACGTGGATTCCGGGGCAACGTCACATCGCATTTGGGGCACGTGAATGTGAGAACATTGGGACACTATGGACAGACCTCTGTTGCAAGATCAGCATTGCGACACAAGCAGGAAGGTGCCTAAACAGATACCGTTAATCCGGTATCTGGTCCCATTTATCGTAGCGACTTCAATTGCAGTAAGCACTGTGCTTCCTCTATTACACGGTCGTTGACTTGATTACGGACAGCGAGGCGTTACAATTGGTCCGCGGGTGGAAGTGTATACAAAAGTTGGTGAGTATCGGGGTTTTTTCATTACGCTATTTATACTCTATTGGGTTATCAATCTAATAGCCTGCGAAAAGCAACAAGAGGACAGCAATGCTTTGGCGTTCGCAAGCATGATAACGCCCTCCCAGGGCCCTATTTCAACGTCCATTGCTAGTCACCCAATGGCATCTATCAGTTACTTCCAAGTGACACAGCAATCTCATCTGGAGCAATCTCAGGACTGCATTTCCGATGCGGCAGTTCGCGCGAGGGCGGCAACGATGCAAGCTGTGGCTCTGACAGCTGGTGGAATTATGAGCATTTTAACGTCTGGTCTTTGGGGAATTTATGGTGGGTTATTCCGTGATGGGTTCCAAGATATGCAGAAGTAAAGCCCTTCTTTCAGGAGATGAACACGGACGAACTCGGGTCATGACTACTTTGATCATTGGATTCTGGATAGGGCGCGTTATTCTACCGCGCATGAAATGCTCTCCTCCTCATCTCCTCATCTGCTAGGGATTTGATGTTTGCTTTAGCGTCCAGCACTGGATCCTCCGTGAGTCCGTTGACGAAGAGTGTCCTATTGGTGTCGGGGGCAGCGGTCGAAGGCCTAATGGGCAGCTGGGCGACCTTTTTCGCTGTAATGAACGCATATATTTCGGATTGTACAGAGCCAGAAACCAGGTATTGACTTTCTCCCATCATGATGCAATTTTCCTCCACTTCCCAAAGTCTCTAGGGCGACATTCTTCTCAAGGTTCCAAGGTCTTCACTTCGTTGGTAATTCGTTGGGCCCAGCTATCGGCTCTGTGGTCCTACGAGTTTTCAGGATTCCAGGGCCCGCAAGGGTACCAACGATTTTCTACCTCGCTTTGGCGACAAATATGATCAATCTCCTTTACGTACTCCTCATACTTCCCGAATCCGTCTCTAGTGAGGACCAAGATTTCGCAAGGAAGCAGCGGGCGAAGGTGGAACGGCGGCAGGCTGTGACTAGTGAGATAGCGGACACCTTATTAATACCCAAAAGATTGTTCTGGAAGCTGAAACGTCAGTTGAGGGAGGTGCTTGCCCCTCTGGCAGTCCTTCTGCCAAGACGGAACGATTATTTGGACATGAACGGATCGGAAAGCTATCTGAATTTCGGCTCGAAGCCATATGCATCAATTTGGAGATGGGACTTTGATCTCACTTTTATTGGGCTCGCTTTTTGGTGCAACTTCCTCAATATGGTAAGAAGTTGCCTCGAACACCCTTCCCTTTATTTCTTACAGCAAGTAAATCATAGGGCGTCTATCCGAACAAGTATTTGTATGTTGAACATATCTTTAACTGGAAAACGGAAAAAGTCAGTGATTCTCAATAAAAAATTGCCACCTGTGGGATGACGTTGGGGTACGCTCTCAGATCGGGTACTATGTCACTGTCTCATCGGCTTTGCGCTCGTTATGGCTTGTGGTTTTTTTGCCAAGTGAGTCTAAGAAACCTGACCGCATTGAGCCTGCTGACGTTTATCGCAAGCGATCATTCAGTTCTTAAAACCAGAGTTACCGGGTCCACCCACTCAACCTGAACCTGTCTCCTCCCGAACAGGGGCAGCAGCCGTTGCCGCTCGTAGACGAACATACCTCCTCCCAACGATCTACTTTGATCTTCGAGTGGCAAAACTATCTCTTCTAATGGATGTGATGTCATTCACGCTCACCAGCATCATTTCTTCTGAAATTTCATTCATCGTCACGTCTCTACTGAGCTGTTTTGGTGGCGGAATGGCGCCCGCTACGCAGAGCGTGGCTCTCGCGTTGGTTGATTATGGAGTCCCCACCAAATCACCCCCTCGAATGGCTCCATACACGATGGATCCTCTTCGGAGACAGGTGAATATCAACAAATCTCAGAAGATCAAGAGGGACAAGAAATACAGTGGGGCACGGAGGTGGTTGCTCCAGGTCAATTTTTTGGCGCTATTGGTGTCCTTCAGGCATTGGGTCAGACAGTCCTTGGGGTGTGTAATGTATATCACCTTTCATGCTTTCTATCACTGAATGTCCGATGCAGCCGCTCATCATTGGTGAACTATACGCCCTCACGGCCGGCTTCTTTCCGAGAATGATATTTGTCGCGGGTGCCATTTTACTTTCTTGTGCCTTCATCTTCCTTAGCATGGTGCGCCCGGCCAAAATTCGGCCGCACGCTCTCGACGTCCCAGTCAATCGAAGGCAGTGATGACATCACGGCTTGACACCAATCCTCGAATTCGCACGCGTACATGCGCGTTACTCGCACAATGTGTAGAATCCGACCAGCAGATATATAGTAACCACTCTGTAGGTGGATATGTATCAGGTAACTGGGGTTGCCGATATGGGCTACAGAAAGATGGCAGACTGGCAGTAATCGATAAATCGATAAATAGTAGCGAAATAATCATCTGTCTCTCCCAGGGCAGGAAGATGATTGTGCATTATTCCTTCAGCGAACCATGAGTTAAGACAAAGTTGGAGTGCCTGACTTCCGCGTACATCTCAGTCACTTCTCGTAATCATGTTTGAACGGATCAGATTCGAAGACGACTTCCCCGCTCTTATCCCATATTTCAAGGAATCCATTTTGCCGATCACGATTTACGAAGAGGATCTCGTCAGTAAGGCGTTTTTCGGGCACGTCCCACCAGGCTAACAACAAGGATAATCGGTTTCCCTTCAAAATAAGGGGAGAGGGAATAAAGACGTACGATTGTACTTTTCATGCTGAAAATGAGTATAAAGGCACTCGAGAAGATAAGGGTGATCTGTATACGAAAATCTGTGCAACTTCGTGCGGGCCAAGGAAGGAAGGCCACCATCGGCATCCCTCACAGCATGAGAATCCGCAGAGATGTCAGCGAACTCGATGGTCTTCAAGCGCTCCACACGCTCTGTGATGGGTCCTCCTCGTTCTCGGCGCATGACGTACCTGGCGTCCAGAGGGTGATAGATGACCGGTGAGAAGACAACCACCCAACTTGAGCCCCAACGTCGCAGATTCAAAGGTCACTCACCTGACGCTATCAGCCCTCCCAAACCCCTTGCCCTTCACTAGCTCATTATCAACTGCGTACGAAACCGCCAACTTCTTGTCGAACCACGCGAGTTGATAACTCCCATATCTGATCTCAACTTCATATTCAAACCCTCCCTTAGAAAATTTATGCCAAGACCTGCTGCCAGCGCGATGTATTGATGAAAGCAAGTGTTTGTGGTGGGTGATATGGAGTAGAAGTCTATCCCGCAGGTCCGTTCTTAAGGAAGGGACAGTGTGTTCCACTATATGTTCACTATTTGGCTGCTCTTTGTCTGGTGGAGGCCTTGTCCTCGATCCACTTGCCTCGCTCGCCAAAGGCGAATTACGAATAAGGAGCCCATCCGAAAGGTGATGAGCATTTAAGACAGAATAAGTGCCAAGCTTTGGCGAGGAAAGGTATGTGTCGTGATTGTTCATGGCGTAAAAGGTAATGAATGTGAGATTTTTGTTCGTAAATGCGAAATGAGAATATTCTTGTTCCTCTGTTCACGGGAAATCAGTGGGTATTCTGAAGGAGACAAGAAAAAAAGTCTTTACCTGCGTCTGAGCCTATCCATCTCCCATCTTTCTCAGCAGCTCTAAATGCCTCCAGGCTCCTTAAAGCGGGGTATTTCAAAAATTCATCAACAATACTCTGGGAATGACGGAAGAAGCAGAGATGTCCGGGAAGGTATAAAAGGATCTCGTCGAGATAGGACTGAGCGGAGGCTACGATGATGTCAAACTGAGGCGCCAGATCCCATGGGACTGATGGCGAAGTAATCAGTGTGGGTTAGCAGAACCAGAAAAGGGGTATAATGGACATACAGTTTCGCTCAAAACTGGATTCAATATGCGAATAAGACATAGAAACGGTAAGCGATACACAACGACTTACTTTCCCCACATTGTATCCAGGTCACCCCAGCCCCTAGCAAAGGTCATGATAAGAAACCTCAAAAGTTCGTCAATGAGCTTGACCAAGGACTGTACCATATCGGAGTATCTGGGTGAATGTAGTCATGGAAGATGGCAGCCCTGAAGGGGCGAAAATGAGACGAAACCTGATTGGTCAAAACGCATGTTACGTCCAAGCAAAACACATTCCTGGAAAACACATACCCTATCCCAAACCCCAAACTTCTTCAAGTCGCTAGTCAGCTTCACGAATTCATCCTGACTGCATTCCCATCCGGGCAGCCCACACAACCACCTAGCATGCCTTTCGTAATAGTCCTCGAGAGAAAAACATACTTCGCGAATATTCGAATTATCTACTTGAGGAGCCATGGGGCCGCAATCAACTCCGTGTCCTTCTCTGTCGAATTTTATGAGAAGCAGGTCAATTGTCGGGTTTGCTAGGACAGATGAAAAGTAGGTGTTCATGTATACAGGTGTCTTGCCGCCTGTGGGACTCCACATGACTATCATCGTTATAGGAGATGGGCTTTTTGGTCGGTGAGGGTACAGGACCTGGCTGCTCGACGAGTGATCATCGCCGTGGAGTGACGGCAACGCGTCTTTGAGAAGATATGCTGGTGATTGAGAGTCCTCATCAAGAGTCCCTCCGAATAATGAAATGGAATTCTCCAGCTGGGGGCGAAGAGAAGAGAAATAGCTCGAGTTGACTGATGATGGAGGTGTTTGAGAAACCAGAAACAAGACGATGACGAAGAACAAGGAAAGGAAAGGAGCTCTTCTAGAGCGCAAAACGAGAGAAAGAAACATGATCTGTGCAATGTATGGCTTCTAAGCGCCAAAAGACTAGTGTTGGTGGCAAGCGAGGTGGCCCTGTAAGGTTGGGGTAAGAAAGGAAGAGTGTGTTGAAACAGAACTTATAAATAAAGTTAATTTGGCGTTGCATGCTGTCATGATGTAATTGAAATTGCCTGCCAACGAATTCATTCAACGGGATTGTAACTCTAATTTTCCATCCATGGTTCAATCTCATCATCGAGCTGATAATAAGTAAATCATGTTGAAAATGTGAACATGGGCGACCAAGACGTGCTTTTTAACGAGGACGAAGCGTCCAGCGCCGTGGATTGTCACGCCCCCGTTTCCGCGTTGCCGTGGCATCGTCCTGCCTGGTCCATTCAATTGGTACCATGGCTCCGAGTGGTTGCAATTGATATGATCATACCCACAGAAAGATCGAAGGGCAGATGCCCGTCGCCGTTCGAGAGTATTGGAACACCTTGGAAGTGAAAAGCAGAGGGCAGCTGCATATAGCCCTAAAAGCACTGGAGCACTGGAGCGCCTCGATGTTGCACTCACTTCTGTATTTCCCCCTCTCCTCTTTATACATCTTACATACTTAGGATCCCAGCCTCTACTAGAGTAGATGTACGTCTGTGCAATATTGCTGCCATCCTTTGGCCTTCTATATGGTGCGATTGTGGATGTAATATAGATAGTCAACATTTGATATTTCCGCGAATGAATGACATTCATTCAGTTCCGACGGAGCCCGAGGCAAACCCTACCTTACATAATCAGCGTTCACCTCGTCATCCCTCAAGTCCCAGCGGGGGCCTTGTCGGAAAATCCTCCGCTCCCACGGATAAAAAATATCCTCGGTCCAAGTCCATACCCGGCGCAAATACCATGAGGCCGCCTTCCTTTTTTTTTGCACACGTCGGCGAAAATCCCTCGATAGTGTGTGGCAGGTCAGGGTCTGATCAGTGCCTATAATAAGGAGCAGTATCAACTACCAAACGCTCATTTTCCCCTTCCCCTCGTTTGATAACATAATGTTCACGTTTACTGTCACTCTTTTTACAGCCTTCTTTCTCTTGTCCTCTTTCACCCTCGCGTCCGAACACGCCCGCCGTAGACATGGTTCAAGTTTTGAGGGGCTCCTCGGCGCAATGAAGCGTCATCACCCCATTAAACCTCGTTCCAACCCTCGGGCCAACGACGATCCCTGGACCTTTGTCGGATGTTTCAGCGGGAATAACACCCTGCTTCAGGACATCGCCCTCACTTCGACCGTAACCAGCCTCGCTTCCTGTCAGTCTACTTGCTTTGAAAAGGGATTCAATTACATAGCTTTGGGGAGTGGACAGCAGTGTCACTGCTCGAACAGTATAGACAAAACTGCTGTTGCGTCTTCCCTTCTGCCCGAGGCAGGATGCACCACCCCAGCTTCACCCGGTTTACCCCTTGGGGGTACAGTCAATCTCCTTAGCTTATACGCTCGAACCAGCAACATCTTTCCTTCCCTCTGGCCGCGTCTGGGCTGCTTTACCGACACGGGCAATCCTCCTGCACTTGGCTCAACCCCCCACAAATTTCCGCTCAACTCTCCTCTCACTTGCTCGGCTCTTTGTGCTTTCATGGGGAGCACTTTTGCTGGGCTTGAAAATGGGGATCAGTGTTTCTGTGGGAACACCATTTCGTGGACAGGAGGCAACGCACAACCAGTGGCTGACAGTGAATGTTCGACGCCTTGCCCTCTGCTCAACATTGGTACCTGTGGTGGAACGAACAGGATTGAGATTTACGCATCTCCTTCATATGCACTCTCGAGTCCGTGGGATCTGAAGCAGAATTATGTGAGTACCAAGTTTGTGAAATGAATAAATGACCGATTTTAGTTGTTTCCAGGAGGGCCCGACTTTCTTTGATGAGTGGGAGTTTTTCACCCGCAGCGATCCTACGCATGGTAAATAATATCAACGAAGAGTGTAAGTATGCTTGTTTCTCACCTTGGACTGTTAGGTGCCGTGAACTACAACAATGCTGCATACTCGGTATGTTTACACCCCCGCACCCCCCTACTGTGCCGTTCTGATCTCCATTCATGAATGTTCAGTGGTCGAAAGGTCTGGTATCCATAAACGGTGCTGGAAACGCGATCATGAGGGTCGACACCACTCCCAACATTACATCCAACCGCGACTCTGTTCGGATCTCGACGATCATGCATTATGATGGGGGATTGTGAGTACCTGTCCTTCTCTGTACAACCAATGCTAACTTCAGCTATCTAGAGTCATTCTCGATGCTGTGGGCCTTAAAACATACTTTATGATGGCCGTGTTTACAAACTCCTGCGATAGGTCCATATGCCAGTTGGTTGTGGCACTTGGCCGGTGAGACCCTTCCCAACGTGGAGGCCTAGATTCAGCCCTAACCGGTGATCCATCCCAGGCATTCTGGAGCTTAGGGACACCAACGTGGCCGGTCGATGGCGAAATAGATATCGTCGAAGGTGTACACTTTGCTCAACAAAACTTGGTATTGTGTTTTCCGGTTGGAATACCTGTCCTACTTACGGAAGGCTCATACATGGTGCCAAAAAGATGTCTATTCACACAGAGAATGGATGCACTATGCCGACTGATTTCGGTGGTACTGGAACTTTGACAGGCTCCCCTAACTGTGACGCGCATGCCAACTCAAACACGGGTAAGGGCTTATCCTCTCGCATTCATCTCACTTTAAATCTTTATTAGGCTGTGGCATCAGAGCCTCGGGCCCAAATACTTACGGCGAGGGTTTCAACTCGAACGGAGGTGGTGTGTACGCCATGATTTGGGACGACGCAAGCGGAGGCGAAGGTATTAGGATTTGGTTTTTCCCCCGTGGATCTGTCCCGTTTGATGTCTCCGCTGGTGAACCTCAACCGAGTGGATGGGGCACACCCCAAGCCAGGTGGCCATCGACGAGCTGCAACCCACCTGATTTCTTCAAGAGTCATATGCTAGTGTTTGACACTACGTTATGGTAACGTTTCTCCTGATAGTTCTTATTCAGGAATCTGATGCTGGAGTGACTTAGTGGGGACTGGGCAGGGGCGGCGGGCATATGGAGCTCCCCGGTGAACAATGGCCAAGTTGGTGGTAGTTGTGCTACTCGCACTGGCTACTCAACTTGCGTCGACTACATTCGTGCAAGAGGAGAGGATTTTACTAATGCTTGTGAGTGGGCTTTCTTCGACACCGTTGACGCAAATTGAGTTGTATGCGTTACAGATTGGGAAGTTAAGAGCGTTAAGCTCTATCAATAGAAACCATACTTTACTAATACATTTACATAAACATTTAAGGATGAATGCCTAATGTATGCTCGTGCAGTTGTCCACAATTTTTTCTTTCATCCCGTCTCTTCTACTTAGATCACTACCATACATGTTTTGATTCAAGTCGGCCATGCATCCGTATATATTTTACACACGAAGAACCTTTATATTTGGTGTGCTTCAGCAGTACTATCCAGATCACCGACCCAATGATAGACTTCGCGACGTTGTCTTTGATCATTGGGCCTCTTTATTATATAGGACTAGTTGAACTGCCTTCGGCTGGTTCCGAACCCAGCCGACAACGAACAATGCAGGTGTTACCATATTTACCTTGCTTGCAAGGTTACTCTGCACACAGAGTCACCCCGCAGGTAATATTACGCAATTTTCGACGCTGAAAGTTTGTCATCTTCTTTTTCTCTATTGTGTTACATAAGTGTTTTTATGTTTCCCCTTTACCCTTTATGTCACAGAGTTTACAGTTTGCTCCTCTTTGCCTTTGTCTCCTTCTAACTTCCTTTTCCACCATCTTCCATTCCCACTCTGCCTTGGTATGTCTGTTTGCCTCTGCCAGTCATTTATCTTCCTCTTCAAGAACATTGCATGGCATCATAGTGAACAACATGTCCCAAATTAAACATATGTTCCTTTGGCCCCTTGCACATGATAGTGTCACATAAACATTAAAAGGTGTCAACGCTCCTCTCATATGTCTGCCCACAGATATTCTATCATGCATGGTAATCTGTGAAGGTGTACACTGCATCCATGGTGATTTGTCTCCACACTGTTGGAATATCAATGCTCATTGACAACAGCCAAGCTGTAGCGAGGATTGGGGAGTTTTTGAGTCTTTAACTTAATATCATCGTGGCTAACAATGACTATATCCTTTTTGTTTCAGAGTTGTGATACCACGCACTCTCAATCTGTCATATCCATCCACAACCAGCACCCTCCACCACCTCTGGTCCTTCTGGATTGTCTCCACTCCTTCGTCACTAACCTTGGAGCCTCCGAATTCCACAATCCCCTCCGACTCCCCCGATGGTCATCACCCCCTCATTTCAATATATTACCTACACCTCCCTAAGTACAGAACCCCAAAGGTCTCCGAACAGCTCCAATGTCCACAAGCACACCCCCACTTCCACCAGGCACTTAGTTGCCTCCCCTGCAAGTCTACCTTCGGGCTGATCCCTCCTTTCCATTTCTGGGTTATAGCCCATCACTCCGCTAACCCCATAACCCAACTTGTCGGTAATATTCAGTCAGCTAACCTGTCATATCCGTGCATACCTGACCCCAACCCGACTTCCGGACCTCCACCCTCTTCACCTCTGGAGTCATAACCTACCGCTGCCGTTCCGATACTCACCTTCGGTCCTGGCAACACACCTCCTCCTTACCTCCCCGACCCTATCTCCGTCCGCTCCGATACTCATCTCGGACCGAACACCACCCCTCTCGCCACCCTCCTACTACTCCGCCTCCCCCTTCACAACACCTCCACCCTCCCGTTATCCTCCTACGCTTCCCCCGTCCGCTCCGATACTCACCTTCGGACCTGACTACTCTCCTTTCCGCCACTCCTTCTCCCCTTACCTGTCCCCTCTCTCCTCCCTCCGTTACTCCTCCGCCACCCTTCCGCCAAGTTACGACCTTCCACCGCTGTCCCGTACTTCGCACTCGGACACCGCTCGTACCTGCTCCGAGCCTCCGTCATAGTCCCTACCTCGGACTTTGACTCCACCTCGGTCTTAGTCCATTGCATTGGTGACCTCATACTATGTAAACACCATTGCCAATATTCCTCGGACTTTCAACCCCGCCTCCGTAACCTCCGTAAGCTCCGCAATCCCTGAGCTTCGCGGACCGCCTTCGGCACTCTCGCCGCCTGTAATGTATCTCTCGCGTTTTCCCTTCATCCCTATTTGGACTACTGCTTCTTTCTATTCTAGCCAGTTAGTCATCATCCCCACTTCCCCTCATCCTCCTGCCCCTCTGGGCCTCGCCCTCCCTACCTCCTTTCGGATGTATCACAGGTCCTGCCTTATGACCTTCAGTACCTATCTGCTCCTTCTACCCTTTGTTCCCGTTTGGACGTCTTCGTTCCGATTCGGTTACCCTTTGTTTTCCTTGTGCTTTTGCCCCTTCCATTATATATATCGGCACTTGTACATACTCGTTTTGGTTTAGTCCGAAATCGACCTGAAATGCCCCCAAGAGACTTCCTGCTCACCTACTGTGAAATTAAGGACCAAATGGACAAACAGCAATGGCACAGTGCTCCGCTTGAGTCGCTGAGGCCAAGGTCCCTCCACGCTAAGTCTCCGATTCCACTCCGGAGTCGTCTGTTCCCGCCCGGTTCTAACATAACCTGTAACTCTGTTAGCTCTGCTCTGCTCAGCACCCTCTATGTAACTATATATACATAACTTGTAGATATGTTACACCTCAGTGATAAAATTGACTAGAGTTTCCCCCTCTTCTAGAGTTCCTTGCCAGTCAGTAAATTAGGGCATGGACATGTTACTAGGCACAGCGCTCTTGGGATAAGTCACTGAGGCTGAAGCCCTCCACCACGGGATGTCATCTTTTGTCCTGGATCTGGTCTGACACAACCTTTCTTTTGTCTTATATCGCCAGTTGTCACTGGCAATTACTTTAAGCGATATTGACACCAGTCATATAAGTTATGCTGTGCGAACAAGCCAATTATCGCGATTCTACCACCCACGTCAAGCACCCCACTCCTGAAACACATCTACCACTGTTCCAGATACCATTTCCATGTTTCCCATATTTTTTCCGATTTTTTCAAGCCATTCCTGACCATGGACAACCATCAGTTTCCAAATTGGGCAACTGTCACCCACATATTCCGCCGCTTCCTCCATATCTCCATCAATTCTCCACTGATCTGGACAAATTTGGTATCGTTGGGAAGCCCTTGTCAACACGGGTCGAACAATGTTACGAGTGACGAAATTGGTTCAGCGGTTGTTCCGATCGCCATGGTTCTTTATTTCCTTAACAACATCAATATTACTTTGATATTGCTTTTTTTCTTAAGTGTTCCTTGTGGATCTGTTGCCATCCTAAACCCGTCAGATCATTCGGATTTCCATGCATACTTTTTTTCATATTTATAACAGCCTCTTTCCTGTATTTACAAAGAGGACTCCCCCAACAGAGAGAGGTGCTCCCCAACAAACATGAAGTTTTAGAAGAAGTTACCAGCACCCAGAGCGGCGAATACGAAGCCAAAGAGGCTCAAGATATAGTGCAGGGACAGAGTTCCCATTAGTTTGATTTCTAGTGAGATTTATGAGTTTTTCATTTTTATCACATCACACCCAGACCATTTCCCCCTCCCCCCTCATCATCATCCAAACCTCCCCTTGAGCACTCCCAACTCTGTGGCCCCCTCTCTTTCTCGTTAGGGTGGTAGATCCCCTAGCCTGCTTACAACACTGGATGCTGTAATTTTCCCCCTCCCTCAGTTCTCTGTATTGAGACTGAGGTGATACCATTTTTTTCTATCTATGTTTGCATATAACTCATTGTACTTTCATGTTATAGTTTATGCATAATAGGTAAAAAGAACAATAACATCAGTTCTCCGTATCTGTCATATCCATACACAGCCATCGACTTCCACTACCTCTGAACCCTCCGGACTACCTCTGCTCCTTCTTCACTAACCTCGGAGCTCCCGTATTCCGCAATCACTTCCGCTTCCCTCGATGGTCACCACCCCCTCTTTTCAATATATTACCTACACCTCCCTAAGTATGGAGCCCTGAAGGCTTCCAGACAGCTCCAACATCTGCTAGTGCACTCCCGCCTCCACTGGGCAATTCACTCGCTTGCCCTGCAAGTCCACCTTCGGGCCTATCCCTCCTTTCCGTTTCTGGGTTATTGCCTACCATTCCGCTAACCCCATAACCTGACTTGTCGGTAATATTCAATCGGCTAATGTTTAACTCCATTAGCTCCGCTCCACTCGGCCCCACCACTTACGGGCCTGCTGTCAGAAACTGTATTCGAGGTGATCGCGGGAAGCGGAGCGGAGTACGGTGGCGTGAGTGGTCACTTAGCTAATGAGCTACTCCGTTGCAAGGCGTCGTGGGGGTTGGGACTTCGGCTTCAACGACTTGGCTAGAGCGTTGCGCCACGCGTTCTAGGCTGTCCCGTATTTCATGTTAGCGGGAAAGACCTTGTGGCGACGTTGACTTAAGCGGGAATGAAGTTGAGAGGCGAACTTAAGATGAGAGTACTAGGGGGGGAATTCTAGTCGATATTTGAACTAAGGTACATCGACAGTAAGCTACAAGTATAAATAGGAAAGGAGAACAGAGAAGGGACCAGTCGGTCCGGCATGGGATGGGAGCGGGATGGCAAGTACGACAGAACTAAAAGAGCGATGAGGACCAGGGAAGTGGAACAGAAGAAATGAATGGAACAGAGGACGGCGAAGTTGGGAGGCAGAATGAATAGGCCGACAATCTAGGCGCGCGGATCAGAATGTCAATATACGAATAAATCAAATGTCAATAAAGGAATAACCAATTGTCAATAAAGGAATAAACCAAATGTCAATAAGGAGTGGATCAACGGCGACCATATCAACCGCTAGTTAGTTAAGCGAATGAATAGAATAAAACGGTATTGGCCGAATGGCTGAGGAACTCAAGTGGTGGCAGGAGAACGAAGGAGGCGCTGCTACGGGGCCGTAGGACGGGAACCACTATCGGCGCCGCTAAGTGATGGGCAATGGCGCGATTTAATGGGCGCAAGTAACGGGCGCAAGAATGGGGGTGCAGAAAGTGGTAGAGGGGCGGGGACTTTGTGGGGCCGTGACACCCGCCCTCGTTGTAACTATATATACTCAACTTGTACATAGGTTACACCTCAGTAATAAAATCGACTAGAGTTGACCCCCTTTAGTTCTCGTTGCCAGTAAGTAAGTTAGGGCACGG